AACACGCATCAATTATTTTGACTTGAATCAAAGTACTATGCGGATGAAAAGTTTGCTCAATGACAGAATGATGTGAATGAATCAAGAAGGCAGGAATTAGAAGTGACAGATGTTGGTGCAGTCAATTATAATCAGGTCCTATGACAGCTGGGCTCCAGGAAACACCATCAGAAAGACTACTTATATATAAGTACCGATTTTAACCAATTTTCCCTTTCTATCTGCTAATTTTTCTTGTACTATACTGCAGGGTGCATCAGTGGGAAAATTCCACCCAAAAGTACTTTTCAAGTACCACAGCTATATCCCTCAGGCTCTATCCACAATTCAGATGCATGCGGCCAATCCATTCCAATGGTCTCTACCACGCCCTATTCCAATGACTTTTACCTTGCCCCACTCCAATGACATCCCGTCAGTCATGGAGTCTGATGGATCCCTTGCAACCACGCTTCAACCTTGCCGTATTGACACATGTACACCGGGAGACTGGACAAACAATATGTTGGCAAACACAAAACAAATGTATCAATCATCAGATAAAATTCGAAGTAAATCTGGTATTAAATGTTTTTTTTGTCTTAGTTATAAACATGCCTCGCTGGAATTTACATGGATTTCCGAGATGACGCAGCTACAGGTACAACTGACCATCCACTCCATCCCTCTCGTCCACCAATACACTTTCCTGCCACAAGACCAAAATCTGATCCTTCTTGTACACGATCAAGGATGGCTGCTGAGATGATCCCCGCCGCCATAGGAGCCCAGCCAGCCGCAACACATTTCAGCCGGCCATAACCAAAGGGCAACGACTTAATCATCTCTTGCTCCCGGGTCACCCGGCTGAACCGTAGGGGTTCAAATGTGTCTGCATCCGTTCCCCAGATACATTTTAATCTAAGAGCAGTTCCTATGTCTGCACAATCATGGCGAAGAAGGGGGCCAAAAAGCTTGGTAATGAGCTTGTTAAAATTGGGTGGAACAAATGTGCGAAATGGAAGGATTGGGGAGGCACGAGTGATATGCTGGGATGGAGGATGGAGGCGCATTACTTCAGTTATAAACCATTCGACGGAGGGATGAGTACCATCAAAGTGGCGAAACCGATCCATCGTTGGAGAACTGCGGATCCTGGAGAATATATCGCTGGAATACGAGGAAGCTTGCGCATAAGCCACGGAAGTAGCGACTACACGCCACATTGTTTCCCACACTGGAATGACAAAATCGAGGGGGTTTGGATATTCACTTTCATCAGGCATGAGACGACGTAAATGATGATTTAGCTGGGGTAGAAGCTCCGCAGGGATAGGCTCAGGATGCTTTGAGAGTGACCACAGTTTTGTAATTAGGGTGGAGACAACATGGATGTCTTCCGAGTTGAGTTCTCCTACTGGTACATCAACATCCAGAATTGCGACGAGAGCAACACGCATCGTCACGTCTTGAACAAACACGTCGAAATCTTTCCCATCAGCATGTAGCGCTTCCTCTACGGAATCAATGGCAATGGTCTGGAATAAGGTCCATCCGCGCTCAGTCGCGGCTTTGAGGAGGGACATCATGCGACCAACAAAGGCCGCGTGGACACCAATGTCAGAAGAGACAAAAGTGTTAGTCAAGGCAAAGGCTTTGACCAATCGTGCATTCGGGAGGGCACGAGAGGTAAGAAGATCATAGTTATTTGCATTTGGAGGACTCAACAAGTGTTGTAATTCTGGAATCGTTCTATGGATTGAAGGGTTTGCATGATAAAGGGAGATGAGACGATACGTTGTCAAGAAAGAAAGTAGACTGAAAAGAATCAAGGATATGAATGCGGCGCTGGGAATATTCTTTGTGAGAGACGGGCAAGTTGCAAAGGTTATGACGAACCTTACGGGCGAGTCCATGTTAAGATGCCTCAAGACAAAACCCAAAGCCCCATGGAGGGCAACAGAACTTGGAAGCCAGACCATTTGAGAGTAGCCTGCATAGTCAATCGAAGTCTTTATAGGTCTGTAAACTTATGCAGTGGAGGAAATGAGTTGAGATGGCTCTTTCACGGAAGGAATGAAGTTTTCCTCTCAAAAACATAGAGAGTATAACAATATGGATGGCTATGCTATAAGATACCCAGTAAAGTAACTGCTTCACACAAGTAACCAGTGTTGGTAAAAGAGGATGGTAGCTTTGATAAGCTTGAACATTGGTCCGGAGCACGCGTTGAGGTTGACTCACAGAACGAAGGATGAAGATAGCCTTCTGAGTTTGCCCTTGAAAAAGAGCAAATGACAAACTAGGCAACGTTTACGTGGAAGTAGGTATTGCAATGGACGTTGGTCAAAGGAAGGGAGGCGATTTCTAGAAGTCCAGTGAGCCTTGGTGCGCAGCACCTGTCCTCTCGAGACCAGTGGATATCGATTCGGTGCGCATGGGTAGTAGAAAGCTTGGTCAAGGCACCGTTCAACGCCACAAATTGCACGTTTACCAACTGTATACTTTACTCAAGTCTGACCTGGGAAAACGAAAATTGAAGCTTGCAAGCAAAATGTTGAAACAGCCACTCAACAAGCAAGAGCATGGACATAACTAGTCATTCGAACGCACTAGTTGCTTCTGACTTGGGCACCTGATGTAGGAACTTGTTTTCAGTATATTGGCATCTCCCAAGGGGTTGTTTTGTATAGTAGATATTCCTTAGCCTCTTTAGACTACGCCAAATGTTTAGATTGGGTGTGAAGTGTCAAGCCTCCTCTATTTGAATATGTGAATTGCCATTCAAGCCGCGCGTTTACGTTGAGGACATCGGGGCCAGTATCGGGAAGCACCGTGTGAAGAGTTTGGTACAGCTCTTGTTGTGACCTGAGGAGGTAAGACCGGTAATTTGGCAGTTACGGTAAGGATAGAGAACAGAGATGGTATTGAAGGTGGTAAGAACTGCTTGTTTGAAGTGGCGATGGGGGCGATGGGAAAATTTGTGTGACTGTTGCCGCTCGACATCAGTGGTGTGGTCGCCCCACACTTGCCGAAAGCTGCCGAAGCGGCAGCTCCTTTAGCCATCGTGACAACTTTCAACCGCCACGCTTCCTTCATCCAGTCATTCATTGTGGTTTCAATCAAAATCAACTCCAAAAGACTGTTTGACAATATCTCCAACCGATGCTCTTCTATCTACAGATCAGTGAAAGGTGATACGTGCTGCACGTTTTAAAAAAAGGTCAGTGGTGTTATCCACATAGCACGCTAGGAGAGGGTAAAGCTTTAGGATGGCCTCGAAGTATATTGGCCGGCTCGTCGGTCCATGTTCCTCATTCTGTACCATTCCCCCAGATGGTCATTGTGGCACTGAATACCAATCCATATGGTGTGTGGATTCTCTATATTTCTATACGGCCCGCGATGCCTCACAGACCCGGTGATATCGATCTCTTTTTTTAACAAAAACTTCTTTTCCAAACCAATACTTTCAGCCTTGTCATGGTAGCGAACCCCCGATTCATCCTGGAGGATCATTCCTTTTCAAGCTAGCGAGGATATAACAACATTCATATTCCAGCGAGTAGAGAAATTTCGACCGGTCATGACACTACGTTACGCACTGGAGAAACCAATGGACACATGATGTATGGCGTTGGTTCAAATCAGGTCCTAAATTTATTCTTCGCACCGTAGTCGGTTCAATTTTCCGGGTGTGTCCATGACCATGTGCTTCCGTGTACAATTTTTCTTTTGAGGTCGAAGCCGGTTGTGCTTTGTGCAAGAAGTAGGTTAGTGGACACATGTGTATGGCGTTGGTCATATTATCACGGCACCTTCGGACCATGTCGTCCACGGACAGTGTCCGGCTCAATTATGGGTGTCTCCATCACTTTGTGTGTACCATTTTTTGAGATCGACGAGCCGGTCGCGTTGTTGTGCAAGAAGAATACCAAGTAAGTTATTGGACACATGGTGTATGGCGTTCAAGGTTATGTTACCACGTTCCTTCGTACCGTGCTCCACGGGCAGTGTCTGGTTCAATTCCGGATGTGTCCATAAATCTGTCAGCGTGTTTCTGCATACTATTTTTTCAAGGTTGACGAGCCGGTCGTGATGTTATGCAAGAAAAATACCGAGTAAGTCAATTGATGCATTGTGTATGGCGTTGGTTATCACTGCATCTTCGGACTATGCTGTTTACGGGCACTGTCCGGTTCACTTCCGGGGTGTGTTCCCTAGTCTAAACAGTGCCATTTAGTATTCTGCACCAATTTTTTGAGTTTACATCCGAGGAATATATGAACTTTGCCTCTGCTTGACTTGTAGTTTACATAGATTATCATTTACCGAGTTATCGTTATCTTAGTAAAAGAAGTTCAGAAGGCCAGTCGCTCAAAGATTTAACCGGCTGCTCTCGGCCCGGGGACAGAATAGTCCTTCATTACACTGTAGCCTTCAGTTTGTGGCGTTTATTCAACTTCATAACATTTTCTAAATTCAGGGTTAAGACTGTATCGATCCGGGTGGCGTGTAGAGCTTGATTTGTTAATCTCGATTTCTCTGCATGCAGTAAGTTGCTGTGCATATCCGAGTCGAGCATTGCCATTCGGGAGCGGTCACAATTAAACGTCGTCCAAGTACTCGATGCCTCGAAGGTCTCCTGTTTTTTGTCAACTTGAGGCTCGTTGCTTTGAGCCATACATTTACCTTGGGAATACGATATTATTTCACTCGTGGTTGTCAAAGCCCTCAATCGATTATCCTACAGCTCTGTCTCCTTTTGTGGGCACTTTCCAACCGTGTATGGGACAGAAGAGACAGAGCACCCTTCTGTTAGATATTATTGGACAGGAATACAATCAGCCATTAGTATTCTTGCCGCCACCGCCGCTGAAAGATTCGCTCAAAAGTACAGGTCAACCCATTCGCAAGCTCAGTTCACTTGGTTGCTGTGAACCTGCCTTCATCCTTGAAGAATCCAAGCTCGCCCAACGAGTAGAGAAGGCCAGCAAACCAGAAGTACAAAGATACCTCAGGGGCACATGGTGTAGTTGGTTATCACGCCCGCTTAGCACTTGGTGTCTGCGGGCGGTGCCCGGTTCAATTCCGGGTGTGTCCAATGGGCTCGACAGTGATATCTTTTTTGGTCAGAAAAAGGAACAGATATGATTGCGATCAATACAAACGTGATGCAGTATACGACGTGTTGATTTAGAAATACTTTACTTGCTTACAACCGACATGATACCGCGAACAATGGGCGAACGCAAAAAGCGGGCGTCGGTTCTGCCACTTGATTCAATTGCCTCCAGCTCATCTGCAGCTCACCGTTACCAGCCCACACGAAGCCCTTCACCGCCTGCATCTGCGTATTTCCCGCTGCACTCTGTCGACACTGGGGCACGACTACGGCCAATTCCTGATGCAGAAGCCCACTTTGCGTACAGTACAACTCTGCGAAGACATCCTTCAGAAGCTGCAGCACTCACGTCGCCTACTCACATTGCTCATGCAGTCAATGCCGAGGCACAGACTCTCTGGTCGAGGTTCGTTGGATCCGTAACAGGCAGTCGGCCTGATTACGAACTCGTGGCGGAAAATGGACGCGTCACACCTCCTCCACGAGGGGACACACCAACGATAACTGCTTCCGCCCAGTTCGCACATACCTCTGTTCAAGTATGTACTTTTTGGATATTCATATACGAAGCTCATTTTTACAAGGATACCATTGCACATTTTCGTACATCCGCGGAACATGGCCTGCTACAACAAGATATTCCAAATCTTCATGCTACACACGGTTACAACGAATTCTCAGTATCGACACCGGAACCTCTACTCCTGAAATTCGCAAAAACTATCTACGAAAGCCCCTTGATTCTCCTACTTTGTGGAAGCGCATCTGTCAGCGCAATCATGGGTAATATAGATGATGCAGTTAGCATCACTGTAGCCGTTCTAATTGTATTAACTGGTAAGCCACGGGCTACTGGTTTCCATTTATCCTCTTGACGCGTTCCCAGTTGGATTTATCCAAGAAAGACGTTCAGAAAAGTCACTAGAAGCACTTAACAAACTAGTCCCACACTACTGTCACGTCATACGTGAAGGCGAGACGAAACATGTGCTTGCCAACGAGCTTGTCCCCGGCGACATCGTCACTTTCTCCACGGGCGATCGTGTGCCCGCCGACATCCGTATCGTGTCTTCGATAGATCTAGAGATTGACGAGAGCAGCTTGACGGGAGAGACGGATGCACGGGGGAAGAATGGGGAGACGTGTCAGTATGACAGGTCCCAGGGACGCGCGGTGAGCGATCCTGTTGCGCTCGCCGATCGGACGTGTATCGCCTACATGGGAACTCTAGTCAGAAATGGTGCGTTCATCAAACTTGGAAATACTTCTACGTCGATTTGTTCATTCATATTGTTCTGGTTTAGGCCGTGGTTCTGGAGTGGTCATCGCAACGGGAACTGCGACCGAGTTTGGGGTGATCTTTTCTATGATGCAGGATGTAGGTGTGAATAATGATACTGGTTTGAACGTGCCTCATACAGCGGCGTGGTGCAGGTCGAGGAGAAGCGGACGCCGTTGCAGCTCAGTATGGACGAGCTGGCGAAGAAGCTCTCTATCATGTCATTTGGCGTCATTGGCATCATTTGTCTCATTGGGGTGCTACAACGTCGGTCCTGGCTGGAGATGTTCACGATCGGAGGTTCGTTAATCTGTGACTGATTCAGCAACCTTTTGTTTATGGGTTGGTTTGCTAGTGTCTCTGGCTGTCGCGGCTATTCCTGAAGGTTTGCCGATTGTGACGACAGTCACTCTCGCGCTTGGTGTGTTGCGTATGGCGAAACGGAAAGCGATTGTTAAGAAGCTGCATTCCGTCGAGTCGCTTGGGTCCGTTTCAGTCATCTGTTCTGATAAGACAGGTGTGTTGTGTATGTATTATCCCGCCAAAAAATGCTGAATGGCGACCAGGAACACTGACCAAGAATGACCAGACGGTTACGGAGGCTTACACTGTCGACGAGACTATCACTCTTGATCCCAACTCGACAACATATGCAGCGCCGATTTCACCTGCACTTAGAAAGACCCTGGATATTGGTGCAATATGCAACAACGCATCGCTTGTACGCAATGAGGACGGGAACTATGTCGGACAGTCGACGGATGTCGCTCTTCTTAACGTTCTCGGGGTATTTGGGCTTCCAGACCGCCGACAGGCATGTCTCTCCATTCTCATCCCTTAAAAAGTTCCACTCAGACCTCCCATAGCACTTCGAACGCGTCTATGAACGCCCCTTCAACTCTGAACAGAAATACATGGCCGTATCTGGGTACCACCGCGAAACAGCCGTGAACAACCCCATTGGCTCGCTCAATGTCAACAGTACAGGCAGGGAGATGTACTACATCAAAGGCACCATCGAATCCATCCTCGACCGATGTAAATTCTATTACGTAAACGACGAATCTACACCAGGACTAGACACGAACACGCGCAATGTGATCCTCAGCAAAGCACAAGCGACCGCCGCACGAGGACTGCGCGTGCTCGCTATGGCATATGGATTCGGCGGCGTAGATGAGCGGCCTCCTTCACGGACCACGACGTCACGCGGGACGTCGCCCGCCTCAGGCGGGCCCCCGGAGAAATTGAACCTCGTCTTTGTGGGTTTCCAGGCGATGCTTGATTCTCCACGGAAAGGCGTCGCGGATTCTATAGCGCTGCTTCAGAGCGGTGGGGTGCAAGTGGTAATGATCACGGGTGACTCTGAACAGACTGCGCTGTCGATCGCGCGGAAGCTTGGGATGCGTGTTGGGCGTGGCGTGGCGGGGTCGTCGAGTTGTCTTACGGGTAAGGCAATTGATCAGATGACGAAGGCGCAGTTGATGGAGAGGGTGGGGAGCGTTAGTGTGTTTGCGAGGACGACGCCGAGGCATAAGATGGTCATTGTTGAAGCGTTTCAGGCGAGGGGGCAGGTTGTAGCTATGACGGGTGATGGAGGTGCGTCATGCTGTTTTTGTTTTTGCTCTGGTAAGAAGAAAGACGGCCATGTATAGTGAACGATGCGCCTGCGCTGAAGATGGCGGATATTGGAGTGTCGATGGGTAAAAGCGGCACGGATGTCGCAAAGGAGGCTGCGGATGTGATTTTGGTAGACGATAACTTTAGCACCATCCTTCCTGCCGTTGAAGAAGGTGAGTCCTGCGTCAGGCACATTCTGGTTGTTTGCCTATATACTGATGGTTCTTTTTGCTCCTCGGATAGGTAAATCGATCTTCCACAATATCCAGAACTTTCTGTCGTTCCAGCTGAGCACGGCTGCTGCCGCGCTGACGCTGATTACGCTCAGCACGATGCTGGGACTTAGTAACCCCCTAAATGCCATGCAAATCCTCTTCATTAATATTCTCATGGATGGTACGTTCCTTTTCTCTATCCCTCACTCCCTCCCTTCTCCGCGGCGAGTCTTTGGGCTTGGAATTTAAGCTTACTCCCATCCTAGGCCCTCCTAGTCAAAGTCTAGGTGTTGACCCCGTGGATCCAGCTATCATGAGACGTCCACCACGCAAGAAGAACGCCCCGATTATTACGAAGCGACTGCTTTTGCGTGTGCTATTCTCGGCTTCCATTATCGTTATCGGGACGCTGTTCGTTTACGTGTTCGCTTTGGACGACGACCATATGTCGCGGCGAGAACAGACCATGGTAAGTTGACACATCTTTTTTCTCGTTCGAAGGCGGTGGTAGGGTGTACTTTCCACTATTACTGATCTCCTTTCTTCCTCCGTTCGTTTGGAGTTTTATTTATCATCATATCCCCTGTCTACATGACTGGAACTAACGAATTTTCTAATCAGACATTTACATGTTTCGTCTTTTTGGACCTTGTTTCAGCAGTGCAAAATCGCGCGCTTGGGTGTGGCCTGTTCCAGAATAAGATGTTGGTGGGAACAGTTTGCGTGTCAGCGCTAACGCAGCTCGCGCTCGTTTATGTGCCATTTATGCAACGGATATTTCAGACAGCGGCGTTAAGTCCGACTGATTTGTCAGTGATTCTGTCGCTTGCGGCGCTGAGTCTAGTGCTGCACGAGGGTCGGCGGTCTTATGAGCGCAAGCTGAATGCAGAGCAAGTCTATACGGCTGTTATGGAGGAGATGGCGTAGTAGGTGGTCGACGACACGTTAAAATGAGTTATATTTTTTCTTATTTTAAGATAGCGTCGTGTGACATGTATATATTTATCTGATACGGAAGCGCCCTAACTTCACGGAAAACGGCGCTTGCATCAGCTGCGCAGCGCTTGCGTGTGACAAAATTGCTAGAACGTACAGCCTCCCGGTGTAGGTGACGGAATCAGTCATTTGATCCAGTCAAGCATTCGGGAGAAAGTCTGGGACACTTCCACTATGGATGTGAAGAATGTTTGGTGGAAAAAGGAAGGAAATTCCTACAACAAAATGGGAACGATGAGTTACGAGGGTCCATGATCTGGAATGCTTCAATCCTAATCTGACATCTGGGGCTTGAAAGAGGAGAGGAGAACCGGACGAGCGTGCCATGTGTGTCAGATGCGGAAATTTCCAACACATGACCTATATTGGACCTTGGTCTACACGATAACATGTGTAAGTGTGTAAACTGCCTACCTCCTTGCCCTCCCACCATCATACACGTCTCCTCGCCGCGGGCGACAGCCTTGAGAAGCTTTCTCGACCTCCCGACACCCTTCGTGCTCCGTTTTGGCTCGATCTTGATCGAGGTAACGTCTAGACGTCCTCAGAGACCAGATCGACACTTCGTGCTTAGTCGAAGAATAACGTTAGTGGTTAGTCTGATATCTATTTCTTGGACAAGGTCACTTCTTTGACAGGCCTTTGTGCCGACTATAGGATCACGCACGTGTAGACTAACAAAGACGCAGACCTCCAGCTTCCCGCTCGTAGATCGATACCAGGCGTATCCAAGTCGAAGACGTCCCATAAAGCTGTTCATAGTTCTTCTACAGTGAGTTCATTTGATCAAACTTGACTGCCATTTCGAAACCGATGGCGAGAGAGCACATGTAGATCCTCAAAGAAAGCGGAAATTTGATCAGGTAACG